ACCTAAATGTATATGTACCTTTTGATCTAGAAATTCTACTCCTAGCAATTCTATTCTCAACAGATGTGAGCACACATATCACTAAAGATGTTCCAGAATGTTTGGAGCAGAATTATTCATAATGGTCAAAAACTTAGAAATTATCCAAATGCAGTGGATATGAAGAAGAATGGTCTACAACAACATGTAAAAATATGGATAAATTTCACAATATAACATTGACTAAAAAAGTAGTTCATATTATATGATTCCACATTTATAAAATAAATAGGAGAAATTAATTTATACTAATAGACATCAAGATAGCAATTTTATTGTTGAGTAGAATGGTAACTGCAAAGTAAGATGGAGTTTCTGGGGAGCTGGTAGTATCAGTTTATTGATCTGAGTGCTGAGTTCACATGTTTATTCAGTAAGGCTGAGACAGGGTGAGATAAGCAAGATACCCAAGGAGGCAAACTTAAGGAGCCTCTCATCTCATAAAGGAGATCCTCTTTAAAATGTCCTCTCTATGTACCTTGCTTGCCTCACTCTCATCCCAGCCCCATTCAGTTTGTGAATATTTATTGAGCTGTACCATTATGATATATATTTTTCTGTATATTATGCTTGAATTTTAAAATGCTTAAAGTAATCTGTTCTACCTCATACCACAGATAAAAATAAACATCAAGTGGATTAAAAATCTAAATTTGAAAAGAAAAACTTAAAAAGTTTTAGAATAAAATATAGGAGAATAGTATTAATGACCTTAAGTAGAGAAGGGTTCAAAAGCATATCCAAAAGCATATTAAAGGAAAAGATTAAACCACATTTAAATTAAGAACTTATCTTTACCAAAAGACCTCTTAAAGAAAAAGATAAGCCACAAACCTAAACGAAAAAAATGCAACATGAGAAAGTGAAAAAGAATTATTATTCAGAACATTACTTTTTTTAATCAATGAGTAAAAGATAAATAACTCAATAGAAAAAATGTATGAAATACTTGAACAGCTACTTTATAGATAAGAAAATCAGAATGGCCAAAGAAAAGATGCTCAAACTCACTAATAATCAGAGAAATTATAATTAAAATTATGAGATATTACCATTTCATATCTAGCAGATTTGCAGAAAACATAAATTCTGACAATCTTAAGTATTGACAAGCATATAAGGTATTCTCCTCCACTCAACTTCTTAGAGTACAAGTTGGTACAACCACTTTAGAAACAGTTTTGTGTAACCCAATAAAGTAGAAAATACACAAGCCTAAAACTCTTTGCTGTATTCTCAAGAGACTCTGTTTGACCAGGAGTATACCAGAAAGTTTGTACAGGAATGTTTGTAACAATTGAAAAGAAGAAAAGAATGTCAAGAGTAGAATACAGCACAGCCAGTTGTGGTGGCTCACGCATGTAATCCTAGTACTCTGGGAGACTCTGAGGCCAATGGATTGCTTGAGCTCACGCATGTAATCCTAGTACTCTGGGAGACTCTGAG